TTTACTGCCTTCCAAGTACAGGCATGCCTCGGAGATATTGTGGATTTGGTTCCGAACCACTGCAGTAAAGTGAATATCACAATAAAGCGAGTCACAGGATGTTTTGGTTTCCCAGTGCATATAAAAGTATGTTTACACAATACTGTAGTCTATTAAGTGTGCAAAAGTGTTGTCTTAAAAACAATGCACATACCTTAACTGAAAAATATTTTATTGCTAAAAAATGCTAATCATCATCTGAACCTTCAGTGAGTCATAATCTTTTTGCTGGTGGAGGGTTTGAAATGTGAGAATTACCAGATGTGACACAGAGGCACGAGGTGAGCGAATGCTGCTTGAAAAATGGCGCCAGTAGACTCAGTGCAGGGTTGCCACAAACCTTCAGTTTGCAAAAAACGCAGTATCTGTGAAGTGCAGTAAATCAAAGCGCGATAAAACGAGGTGTGCCTGCGAATAGTAAGAAATGTTTGGAAAAGCTTTGCAAGGAATAAGCATAAACCATAAGAAACGTAGGACCGATTTTTAGCCTTATCAGATTTCACAACTGGAAGAAAGTATAGTTTGTCAGAAAATCGGAATTTGTAAAAATCAGTTTTATTTTATAACCCCAAAGATTGATTGGCTTTACATAACACATATTCTAACAAAACTATTGGAAGTTTTAAGACGTTAGGGGTCATTTTTACCGCTCACAGGCCATTTTTTTTTCAATAAACGCGGTTTTCTTATGAATGTTATATCTTGTCTATTCATAAATATGCCCAGGCGTGTGTATTCGTACATGTGTCTGAATTACCCATGAAAAACCTTTGTGGATGTCTGATCCATGAAAAAAAGATGAAAATGTTTTCAGTTGTTTGTAACGATCACTTAAGGGGTAACACTTTGGTTTGCAGGTTCACGTGAATTTACTTCTGATGGAAGCGCGGATGCAAGCCGAACTCCTCTACGCGCTTCGTGCCATCACCCGGCATTTGACCTGAAGCGTCACCCAGGGAACACGTCACATGTGTGTAAAGACCTTTTCCCATAGGATATACATCAGAAGCTGTTTGTGATGTAGCATCAGACATCATCCAATTCTCTAGTGTCAAAGTTTAGCCGTTTTGGGGGGGCGGCTGTAATGTGCAATGATGTGTTTTCTTTTTCTCGATGCTTAACATGACTAACGATTGCAAAAAATAATGCTGAGGAGCACTACTTCGCATTGTTCGTAGTTGGGTTTTTGGATCCCGATCATAAATCACGGACCCGGTTTGTTAACGCTTAACTTCCGCGCTTTGGGGTTTTGTGTGTTTCGTGTATTTTTGTTCTTTCCTTTTTTTTTTTTTTTAAATAAGGAAAAGCGCTTACAATCTGCTCAAGCAACTGTTTTTCAGATATTGGAATTCAGCAATGAATGACCTCCTCCGGCCATTCTAAAATGTTACCGTTGTGTCCTAAATCTGGTGGCGAGAAGCATGCGCTGTCGAACTAAGCTGCTCACAGGACACTCATCTGTGTCCCCAGGAGATTATTTGTCAGGCACTGTTTATTTTTTGTTTGTTTGTTTGTTTGTTTTGGGTTTTTTTTTTACTGCTATTGGCGATAACATGAAATGTGATACAGCCATTGTCCATAACTTAATGTGAAATTAATCATGATGAATTCTATAGCATGCTACTGAAATGCCAAATTCAGCTCTTTTCTTCTCTTTGGAAACGGAAGTTTCAGATTTCCATAGCAGATGTATATATTCAAAGTGGAATTATGCACAATCCTTTCTATCACTGACAGTAATCCTCAGTCATCATAAACAATCAGTGCTCACAGTGCTGCTTACAGGTCACTTAGCTGGCACATATCGACAACATGTACCCACACAAGACTGACCAAAAATTTTCTTTGCACATTTTTCGTTTCTCATAGTGTTTTCTATATTGCCGTAAGCAGAGAAAGCAGAGGTTAATATACCTATATTTTTTTCCTGTTAGGCTTTTAGAACTTATTTTCCATGGTTTTTCTGATGATAGGTTAAACAGTTAATTATTCAAAGGTTAAAAAAATTGTGTTTCTATGCATTAATGTGATTGAACAACAGCAAGAACAAAAGAGTGCAATATGTTAAAAAAAAAAAAAACTCAGCTAAACTTTCCCCCTGTTATGTCACTGCAGAAGTGTCCTTTGAAAACAGAGCCATAAAGAAATTGTGTTCAGATTTCTTTATTGCACAAGGCTTTTTGCCTTCCTGGGGTTGAACAATGTTCCTTTCGCAATGCCAAAGCATCCCCTTCCCCAGAAAAATCTCTTTGGACGACTGGTTTAAAAAAGATAGCAAGTCTTAAGGGAGGGAAAATAATACCCCAAAAGTCACATTTTTGCATTGGTTTCTGTTGCTGGATTAGACGACCTTCACAGAGCACAACATTATGTGTTTATAGCTTTAATTTGTATTATGTTACTGACCCAGTGAAGTGCCTGAAGAGACGCTTACAGCTCTCCAGTAGGACACGGCTGCACTGCTTAAACACTTTTGGGTTAATTAAGGATGACTTGAATTTTACACAAACATGCTAATTTTTTTTAAAAAACAGATCCATTTTCTCCTAGTGAATGATAGAGTTAAATTGTCCCATTAGAGTTCCCACAAAGATTTCGTTTTAGACTTACCTGTTAGATAGGACTGACTTCTTTTTTCTCTCAAGAAAGAATCGTGGACTAGTGTTTTGTTAAATCATTTCTCCCTTCCACGCATCACCCTTTTCTGGTACAATCCACTAGGTTGCTTTCTTTTAGGTTTTGTTCCAGATAAGAGACTTAGAAAGATGACTGTAAGCCTATGAAGATAAGTTGGTTCTGCATTTTTAGATTCTAGGACCTTGGTTGCAATCTTCCATGTGAGGAAAAAAAAATGACCAATATTTTTTAAGGCAGGGTGGTTTATTTAAAGAGATTACTCAAAGAACTTGTGCCAGATCTATTCTGTTTTGTTTATTGCATAAACCATGTGTTGATTTTATTTCATATGACTTTATATAGACATGTATTTACTACAGAGAAGGTATTCAGGGGAATGGCAAATACAAACAGCTACATGCCATGTCCATTTCACTTCCCTGATTTTAGAACTTTCAAATTGAGGATAGCCTTTATTCCTGACTTTTTTTTTAGCTAGAATTCTTTCTGTTAATAGCCCTATGTTTTTGCGCAGGTGACCCGTATGACAGGATGAAAAATGACCTTTGTGTAATGAAAAGGAGGAGAAATTCTCGCGGAACACCCGATGAGCTTGAGACCAAAAGGGGAAACAAAGTTTAAGTAGTTAAAATGGCCACTTAGTTTTTGTTCTTGTGTTTTTTCCCCCAGAAACGTTAAGTCGTTGGAGTCTGGGTTATGGGATTCTTAGTGCCTTTACTGGATCTCTTTCTTAGCAAGGTTTCTTTTTAGCTCAGCATAGACCTATCTCATTGCTAACCAGGAAAATCAGTCGACTTGGAACTCTAAACAAAAACAAAACAATCTATCTATGAACCTCACTGACTCAGCCTAGAAAAACTGACTTCCGAAGGTGCCAAGGCACCTCCCGAGAGGCAGCGTGCACGGCTCTGCAGGTTGTGAATACTATCTCACGGCGCGGTTGCTGTGCGCTTCATCTCGTGCGCGCTTGAAATTCTGATGCGGTTTTCCAGGGTGGTATTTTTTTCAGAGTAATGAATTTACTATGTAGTCATTTATAGTGTAGCTTTTTTATATGCAAATGTGATATTTTTAAAAGTGATATCTGGTTCAATTGGTACAATGAGCTGAATAGAGGCGATTATACGCTCTGCTCACCCACACCTCAAGCTCACGTTGTGCCAAACTTACATGTGCGAGTGTCGGTGAGCAAAAGCACACGCGAATGTCAAGTCTCTGACTTCGTTGCTTATTATTTTAAAATTAGTCCAATAACCCACCGATGTACATGCTTGAGCGATGTCTGTGTACTTTTGAATTTTGAGTTTTCCCACTTCGGCTGTAATTCTTACTTTCTCAGATCACCTTAAGAAACATCTAAATGCTCTCTCATCTAAAAGTACATCTTTAACTCTGTCCCTTGACTGTGGGAGGGGCCAGGCAGCCGCCTGGACTTCGGATCGGGCCTCCTCAGACAGACTGGTGTCAATTAGAGGAAACAGGACTTTGAGATGGGACCACTTACTACTTTCTTAACCTTTTTGAGTTAAGCGTATTGTGTCAGACTCAGGAAGAATCTTGGTCCCATTTGGGGTACTTTTTAAATATAAGGTGGCCAATGTGGAATCTGGGGCATGGCCTTGGCCTGTAATTATGGCTTGAAACCCAAATAAGAAAGACAGAGCAACATGGGGCTCTCTTAGAACAGAAAATTCAATGTAAGCTTTATATCAAAATCATGTATGAACCAGAGCCTCTATTTCATTTGTGTTATAAAATCCCTGAAAGATTTTAAATGCTCCTAAAAACTAATGAACGTTAGTCCTGAGCAACACTTTTTCCCACCTTATAGTTTTTAAATCCAAAATCTTAGATTTTTATGCCGCAGCAAAATGAAATTACCAGCAATTAAAGATCTATGCTTAAAAATAGTCCCCCGCTTTCATGCAGAGTGCATGCATACATGATGGTGAGATTCTTTAACACTCTAGGAGCAATTCGTCAGGGACAAAAATAAATGACAGTGCATGTTATAAAAATGATTTGCACTGTGCTAGTAAACTGAGGTTTTTGTTTTGTTTCTGTTGTGTTTGAGAGACGATTCTAAATCCTGCCTCTGGAAAGCAAGACCTTAAACTCTTCTCTTTATCATAAATGGGACTTTTTCCTCTTTTATGCAAACAGACGGTCTTGCGTGGAGTAAAAATTATGCAACAATAATGTTATGTAAATAGTATATGAAATTTTCTAAGTAGTATAATTCAACAGCAAACTGAGAGACATGTGGCTCCTCTATTCAGATTGAGTTTTAAGTTGCCTAATTTTTTTAGTCGGAACCTACTCTAGGTGGCCATCATCGTAAACTATGTTTTCCTAGTATGCCCCTCTGGAGACTGAGAATCAAATTCAGCAGTCTTTCCTTAAAACAGTACTGTAACGTGAATGTATTCGTCTCAGTCAACAGAACTTCAGTGCCCCCTGTACGTGGAGCTTACTTCCATGCCAATGTGGCTCAGGTGAGACCTAGAACAAGAATAGCTGGGGTGAAATGGATCGTGGAGGTGGAGGTTAAGTGTCAAGGCAGGGCCCCGTGAGGAGGGAAAAGCTTTTCCCCAGAACACGTGGACCAGAATTCTCAGAGCGTGGCTGCCCTCAGCATCACACACCTAATCTAAAGGAGCTCTTCCGGTTGCGGGAGCTCCTGCCTACATTGAGCCCGCCCTTTCCCACCTGCTTTCTCTTCCTCCAAGTGCCTCGACCTCTACCATGCTCTCTCTCCTCCCCTCAGCCCATCTTGGTCCGAAGGCCTTTTCACAATCCAAACCAAACATCACCAGCCACCTGCTGATAGTCACCAGCATTTACTTTTCCAAGTTGCTTTTTCCTTCATTCATTAAGAATACGACTTTGCCCCCACTCCCTGTGAATCCCATGATCACCCAGCTATATTTTGGCTAACCTCTGCCCTAGACACCCCACCAGGTATTATGCAACACCCCCTGTGATCTCGTCCACCCCATACTGTCCTGCCCTTTCCCAGCTGCCAAAATACTTGCTCTCCTCTACCTCATCCCCAAAGAGCCTATAAATTCAGAGTATCCAACCTTTTCATGGATTCACCTCTGTTGTTCAGTAATACTACTTCCATATTTTAAATAAATCATAGAAGATATTTGCCTTCTATCGAAGTAAGAATCTTTATATTTATACATGATACAGAAATTGAACTATTTCTACCATGCAGAATTTAGCATTTAGCAGGATTTTAAAGTGATCGAATTGCCATCCTAACCTGGATCTATATTAGGTTATAGACACCTGCATTAGTCCAAGTTATTTGAATGTGAAGTTGAAATTCTCCGACAGTCCGGAGGGATCTGTAACCTGGCAGTGGCACAGGAAGTTTCCGGCAGACACTCTTTCGACTGATGTCATTCGGTCCTTGAAACACATTTCCAACAGAAGGACATGTAAAGGGTGTTTAGGTGGTCCTGTTGGATCACAGGAGCCCATTTGATTTTTAATGTAGATAAAAGGCCACAAAATTGGCGACATGAGGGTTTGAGCAGGCTTTCCCGGGTTAGATGGAGCTTCAAAGCCCCATTCCCAGCCTGTTCTCACGGGGGTCACGTGCCCGGGGGATGAGAAGGGAACGGGCTGACGCTGGGGTCTCTGTTCCCCTGGCTGCACTTCCGGGGTGTCTGGACAGCATCGTTAAGGAACAGGAAGAGGAGGAAGGAACACGGAGGAGGAGGAAGCGACCACACTTCCTCTCTAGCCAGTGCCTACTTGGTGTGGCTCATGGATGAAAACTGTCAGGTTTCCGTGGTGGCGCGCGTGTATCTGTAGGTGGTTGCCTGACCCGAAGACAAACCACCCTATTTGAAAAAACACATTATTATGATCTTTGGATGACTTCCACGCCCATTCCTGAACCACCCAACCTGACAGCAGAGTCTAGTAAATGCCTTTAAGGGCCCAGGAGTAGACAGATGCCTAGTTAAGAAATGAGACTTTAATAATGGAGACTGATGGGAATGGTTTTTATTAAATCATATGTCATGAAGTGTTCATTCTAGCTTTAAATTAATTATGACTGCACCACCATGAAGTACAGAGTTGGAAAAGAAGAAATATAGGGGTGGGGGGGATGAATATCTGATTCTTTTCAGTGCTTGTGGAAATCTTTGAAGTAATGACGTGCATACTATAAAACAGCCACTAGAACAAACACCCCGTTTTGCAGCTCATAGGACAACATCCAACGTTAGTAAGTCTAAATATGATAAATATAATTTTGGTATATAAATTTGCTGGTACAGTCTATTTTCTTGCACCCCTCAATTTAACCTCTTAGAAAGTGAATGTATAATTTTAACAGAATATCAAAGGGAGAGACACTCTCTCATCTTTAATGCTAAAATACTGTTTATGAATCCTGATGAGCAGAGTGTATGCATTACGACACTTACTGAACGAAACTAATTATACATCTCTGTCTTAAATTAATCAGCCTTTACAAATTTTCACCTGACTCTTAAATCTGATAAGGAAGGATCAAAGAGTGGGATAAAAGGAAACGGATCCTTGGATAGCCGAGAAGTTTCCTTTGTCATGTTGAGACGTTTCTTCTTTCTGAATTTCACTGGCTCTCCAAAATAAAAAGTAAGAGTTAAATGGTACCCTTGTTCATCAAGGAAACAAATCCAAGCTCTGCCTCCAGTGCAGATATTTCTTTCACATCCGTATATCGTCCCCGGAAAGAAAATACAATTTTTTCCCTTCCTCTTTCTCTTCACATTTACTCTTTTCAATCCGAAATCAGATAGACATGGAAAACAAACCAACCACAAGCCAGCCTGGCATCTTCTCCATACGAATGGAAGAGTCACGGCCACATGCACAGTTGGAGCAAGGTTACAAAGAACCCAGTCAGGTCAGCTTGGAACATGGCCTTGCTACTTGGATTAGCTCCTTCAAACCTGAAAATAACTTTTCCTGGTCATGGAAGAACTGGATGTATCCTTTAGCTTATGAAATAGGATTTGAACTTGAAATCTCTTTTTACAAAAAAGAAAAAAATCCTGATTTTGCAGGGCAGCTACATCATGAATGTATATATTAAGACTCTGTAGCTGAATTGCACATGAAATCAGATTGCCAACTTCTTATCTTTCAATTTTAGACATCATTTTATCCTTAAGTTGTGAGTGATATATGTAGCATGCTGTGAAAAGTCTGTTAGAGTTCTTTAATTCATCAGTATTAATACAGAATCGTCTTTTGCGTTCCTTGGTACTTTTTATTCAATGTAATCAGAAGCTGTGATGTTTTCGCCTTTGTAGTCCTGTGCTTTGTTACTGTAATTTTTTTTTTTTTACGAAGCACGTGTCTTTGGACTAACGTGAGGCAGACGACGTGATCTTTAAGACTGCTCTATATACAGTCTCTTACTCTATGAGGTTTTCAATTAGAATAAGCTTTTATCAAATAGATCATTGATGCAATTTAGGATCCACACAATTTTCAGCGTCGAATGGCGGTCTTACATTTATAGTTTCAATTCTGAAAATAGCAAACTTGATAAACAGCCACTTTAAACTCGTTCTGGCGAATCAGACCCTGTAGATGTAGTCTAAGGTAGTTAACCATATAAGCCTTTTCAGCTATTATGCCCTCCACACGAGTCAGCAGTTAAGGAGAATATAGAACCCATGGAAGCTTTTTGTATGTATAACTAGGTTTTATTTTTCTTATGTTGCTGATTTTACAACTCTGACTAAAGCTGACCTGAACGGATCAGTTTATGTGTAATATTCTAGTGCTTTCATGCCTTTTTTTTTTTTTGGAGGGATGGATAATATTATTTGAACAGATGCAGAAGGAACTGTTAGTGAGTCAAGCCAAACACATTTGAAATAAAGGAACTGTGTATTAACATGTTAACAATTCATAACTGCACTTTTTATGACATTTTGAAAATCTATTTATAGGTACAGAACAATGGGTTTTGTTAAACTGTATCACATTTATACTTGCAGAAATTTATTTCATTGTTATTAGTAGGAATTTTATTGGTTCAATAAAATTGGCAAAACCGAACACTGATTATTTGCTTTTCTATATATTTATTTATCATATTAATATTGGAGTAACATACTTGCCTACATGTGTTTCTGCTTAATTATTGGACATGCATTCTGAAAGACATCAGCATTGTCAGAGTCATTTGTCCCCTTATTTCTTCCTGACCCACGGTTTTCTTGTGACATTTCTTATAATCACTTGATATTGCATTAATGGAATATTGCAATAGTGTAAGTTGTGTAAAATGTATAGTTATTGTCACCTTTGAAAATGTCAGTTATGATTTCAGCAGGAAGCAAATTAATTTCATTATTATCTCTTATTAACCAAAAATAGTAATTAGAATGGAGAAAGGGGCATTGAACCTGAGGTCAGAGCTTGGAGTTTTCAAAGTTTATTTTTTTCACATTCCACTTGCTCTGTGACCCTGGAATTAATTTAATCTCTATGGACCTTGATTTCCATACCACAATCTGAGGGCAATACTGCCTTCTTGAGATGGTTGTTTGAGATTAGCTGAAGTGCAATAATGGTTTTGAAACATGCAGTACAGTGATGAGTTTGAGTGGATAAATGAGAAAGCCGGAGAATCATGTTGCTGCTAATTGAAATTAAGAGGCAGAAAGGAGACACTGGGGAGGGGGAGGTTGTACATGTGTAATGCGAGGTGATGGTACAACTCCCCTGAAGGAATGGAAACTAATCCTTTGGAAAGCTGTGAAGGATGCATGAAGTCTTTTGTGCCAGGTATTCCAAGGAAAGCCCTAACTTTTCATTACTTTTAGCTCGCTGATTACATAAAAATTCACATCAAAGGAAAAGCTGTCCCTTTGTGCCCTATGTCCAGCTGTGATGGGAGATCAGCAAAAACTGGCTTCTTGCTGAGTAGAGGCTGTCTTTTTCAATGATACGCAACCCCTGGGGGACGTAAAAGACTGTGCACGTGACACCAAACACAGCCAACGGCCTGGCCTTCCCACAAGTTCTCCCCCAATTCAAAACCCAGCTTTTTGGCACTAGTTTCCTAGGAATTAATTAATAACTTTGAGCCATTTTAAAAAGCAAAATGGAACTCCGTGTTTATGTGTGTATTTGGTCTTTTCACATATATAATCTCATTTAATCCTCACAATAACTGTGTAAAGAGCTGATAACATTTTCCAAATGGGGAAATTGAGTCTTAGAGAGCTTTGCCCAGGAACTGGCACCTGGGATCCACACAGTGGGGATTTGAACTCTGGCCTTTCTGTGTCACTTTTTATACAGAACTTCACTGCCTCAATTCAGCCTAAGTTCCTTGGGTAATGATATAAACAGCTATGCCCTCAACATGACATTTTACTAAAAAATAAAAGGATAGTCCATCCTCCAAAAAGAGATTAGATAACTTACCTCTCTGGCTAACTTGCAGCATTTTTAACTTTAAAAAAATGGATTTTTTTGTCCCCTCCAGTCGTGAATGGGCCCCTTTGATTTAAAAGATGGTCCCTAGGGGAAGTTCATAGACCAATACAGAAAAGCAGGACCTGTCGATTTAAAGGCCAAAAGTCTCTCCCAAGGGAACAATAGCCTGTCCTAAAGAAGACTCAGGAAAGCTTAAAGCTGTGTTCCTTTTTATTTTTAGGATGATTCTATAGGGTGGCAGTTACCGATTCAAAGTCATAGTTTCTAATGCACGGAATTTTTCTAACTGCGAATTGAGAAAAAATTCGGTCTCAGAAAGTGTCTCTTCTAGAATCTCACATACTTGACATGTTTCAAAACACAGGTGGGCCCACACCTTTCCATAGAACTCTTTTTTTTTTTCTTTTTAATTCATCTCGAGAACTCTTTAAAAGGAATTTGAGACAAGAATTCTTAATACTCCCTCTTGCGCTGGCCTGCTTCTAAAAGAAACGTAAACAAATCTTTCAAGATGAAATTCTGCAACGCTCTCCTGGTTAGGTTACCTTCACCACCCACTCACTGTCTGCTTTTTTGCTTGAGGCATCAGTGCAGACCACTTCACCCACCAAGGGCATCACCCACCAGCCGTGTCACCCACCAAGCACGTCATGGTCACTGTGGCCCACTGCTAACTCCCTCCTGCCCTGGGCCATCTTCCATGGGTCCACGAGGCTGGGGCCAGGTTTTCCCAGGGACAATGAAAAAGTACCTGTTCAGTCTGGCTTCCTGCCCCCACCCTGGGCTGCTCTGCGGGCTGGTGGCAGGCTGCCAGCTTTCCTTGATGCTAATCGTGCACAACCAGAGGGGCAGGGAGTTCACAGGTAACCCCTGAACAGTGACTAACTACAGACAGTGATGAGTGTTTCCTTCTTTCCTCCTCCCAGGTCACAGTTTGGAGACTCAGAGAGTCTGGTGGAAACAAGTAGCAGTGCACTCTTCCCTCCCCTTCCTATCTCACTCCCCCTGACCCCCATGCCTGCCCCTTGATCTCAGATCAGCCTTCATCTTGGGCTGTGCTTCCCATGCCAAGATAAGGGGGTACAGCTCAGGGGGTTAGAGGGCAGGTCGTAGAGTAAGTTCACATCTCAGCTCCATCATCGCCAATGATCTGGCCTTGAATCAGTTACATGGTCTGGTGGTTCCACTGTTTCCTCGTCTGTAAATGCAGATAGCAGCGGTAAGAAAGAAGACACGGCCCTTGTGGTAAAGAACAGGGAGGTGTGGGTAAGCAGAGGGTAGGACAGGCAACAGCAGAGGACATAGGAAGGAATCAGGCAGGGGCTTGTCACGTGGGGCCGTTTATCAGGTTATCATTTATCCCACCTCCATGGCAGGAACTTTAAATACATTATTTTATTATAGCTACCCTGTAAGTGGGTATTAGCCTTATACTAGAGAATTAAAAATCGGGGCCGAGCAAAATTAAGCAGCTTGTCTAAGGTCAAACCAGCAGATGACAGAACTGTTCTCGGATTTGTCTGGCTTTAATCACTGTTTTCCCTCGGTGCCCAGTAAAGAGGGAAATCGTGCCTTTCCATTTGCTGTTAATAGCGACAGTTTTTAATACAGCTAATAGTGAAACAGGCACTTGTAGAATTGCTGTGATTTGGAATTGCTCTGATGGAGGAGCAAGTTTAGGTGGAGAAGACGGAGCAAAAATCCCACTGTGGCATTCAGTGCGCATCTTCAGGCCCTACGTTAGAATATGACTTGGAAACTGTAATTTGGTCTGATGGTGCAGGGTTTGAAAGGTCAGGCTTAAGTACTTGTCATTATTCATTTGGAAAAGGAGATGAAAGCCATTTTCCATGGGTCTTCAGTACAGGGATGGATGTGTCCCACTTTGAAACAAAAGCATCTCCTTGGCAACCAGAGCCCGACTAGAATTTCAGGGCAGCGCAGAAACAGGGTCTGCAAGGTAACTGTGATGGTGATGCCTTCTTTGGGAAGTTTTCTGAATATCTTGAATAATTTCCCGAATACTTTTGCTTATCCCCTTTGGCAATATACTCCAAGTCGTTGTTGGTAAAGTCTAAGATACTTGAAGCAAACTGTTGACACACAGGGCCTTACCTTCCCACATATGTGCGCACAGACCCTTCCGATGCCCAGGGCCAATGGGGGAGCCTTCTAACCATGCAGTCCCTAACAGGTGACGTTTAAGTGACGGGTGTGGCAGATTGTTTGCATAAATGGCACCAATCCCTGTCCTCCCAGCACCCGCGTGCCTTGGGTATTTCTTGAATGCATGGATCCTGTGTGACATCATACAATATTCCCACGAAAATGAGACCTAGGGGGATTGTTTAAAGACTCGGGGGACTTTGGGAGATTACAGCCTAAGCAATGGTTCTCAAACCTTCTTCCTGTGTATCAAAATCTACAAGGAAGCTTCTTAAAAACAGACGTTCCTGGAAACCACCCGAACTTAATGAATCAGAATGGGAGGTAAGGTGCTAATGCAATTTCTCTTTTTATAAGCTCCCCACACAAATTTTTATGCACTTAGTACCACAACAGTCTCCTTTTGAGAACCATGTATCTTTGGGGACAGGCCCCTTTAGACAACATTATTCACAGAGTCACACTGCCTTAAATCCACCCTGACTGTCTATACCGTCTCTCTGTGTTCAGTCTATGACTGGGACACCGAAGAAGGTTGCCGTGATATTAAAGCAGCAAATCAAACAGTATCCATAGGAAGCTGCATCCAAGATGGGGTCCCCCCAGTGAAAATGAACTCCCCATCATAAACCTCGGTTACCAGCTCCTCCTAAAACAGAATTTCTCAATCAAAAGGCAAAAACACACTCTTAATGCTCTCGATGCACCTTTCTGAATTGTTTTCCAGAAACATTGTGCCAATTTGCACCTTGTGATGTAGGGGAGATGCCCGTCCCAGTGGTCACCGTTCAGACAAGCTGCATCTCCATTACGGTTTTGCCTGGTGCTGGCCTTGGTGAGATAAGACAGAAATACTCGGTGTCTGGACCAAGGACTCAGTAAGGGAGGGGCAAGTCTCAGATGGTTGTGGAGCTTCTGAGCAAGAGACAAGGACTCTTACCACTTGATTGAAGCAAAATGATTCCGTGTGGTTTTCAAGAGAAATGTGGCTCCCAGCCTGGAGGGGTTGTGGTGGCCCCCAGGTCTCCAGATGCTGGGCACAGGGTTGGGGGGTGCTCCCTACAGAGCTATCCCCTAAAAAGCAACTCCTCTGGGCTGAGGCTGGAGCTGAGGTCCAGGGAGAGGGCCCCATGCTGGGGTGAGGGGCTGACCGAGGGGATAGAAGGTCAACAAGGGTGGCGAGGTTGAAGGCTTCAGAAGACCTTGCACTCCAGCCTCAGGTGACAGAGCCAAGCGAGCCCTGTGTCCTCTCTCTCAGCTTTCGGTGCTGCTGGGGGGCTCCCAGCTGCTCGGGGCCATGCTCACCCAACTTCTCCAAAAGGAACCCACCCCTTCCTGTCTCTCAGTGGGAGATTCTAGCCAATACCATCCATGAACCACTTGGTTTGTAAAACAGAATTCTGTCACTCCAGCTTTCTACTCATTTCTGCCAGTGGCTCCAGAAGGATTCA